ATGCAACCTCTACCACCTACAGCCATGCACGGCTGTCAATCAATGTTGCTATCTCCACCGTCTTCCAATCTTGCTCATCAACAAAATGGTTCGCCAATACAATCTTCTCATTCTCGAAGTGATCGTATTTTATCCAATTCTCCAACTGTTTTCCCAATGTCTATGGCACCCCCTTCTGCAAACATTCTTTTGGAAGCTTCACCGACTATTCAACCAACAATGCCTCATAATATGCAACATAATACTTCAGTTATTCACTCTCTTACTTCACACCATCGTTCATCGATTCCTTCTGATAGACCCCTTACTACGGCAGATCAACGTGAATTAGCCCGTAAAGTTTCCCATTCTGCTATTGAGAGGCGCCGCCGTGAACGTATTAATGATAAAATAATGCAATTAAAAGAATTAATTCCAAGTTGTGCAGATCAAGATCATTTAAATAAATTATGCATTTTGCAGAGTTCCATTGAGTATATTGAGTATCTACAAGATCTAGTTGTCACTTATCGACAACGAGAAAAAGATGGCGGCAGAACCGATGATAAAATATCATCTGAAAATGGCCGAAAACGATCTAAATTTGATCGATATGATATTCTACCATCATCAAAACTATCTTCAAGAAGATTTGAAATTCCTGAAGATAAAGAATATAAACATAAAAATTCTGTTAGTTCATCTACTTTGTCTACCTCTCCGGATCAGTCGATGGATCCTGTTGTGAACACGGAAAAAGTTAACAATGATAATACCGACTCTACATTAAAGGCAGATATATCAGATATTACACCAATGCTATTGGACCAAGAAGATGCAGACGCTTTGTCGTCAAAGTCAACTTCCACTGTACAAAAATCAAAAGCAATAATAAAGTCGACTTATACTGTACAAGAATCCAAGAAAATAATAACTACAAGAAATTCTGAGACACAAACTTCTCCAATTCATGACTGGGGAAAATCTTTTAAAGAGTTAAAAGACGAGCAAGAAACACAAGCATCTTTATCTTATGAATGTGAATCTTCTGAGGAGACTGAATCACCAAG